AACAATGGTTTTCTTCAGTTCATCCGGGTTAACAATGGACATTTTAATTATCAGATTCTTAAACCAATAACAATAATCGGTAGAGCTTCCTTCAATCTGTACTTAGTTGCCGACATCTAAATTATTATCTTTGTCTAAGCTTATTACCTCAAAAAAGTATTTCGCAGTCATTAAGCCTTCCCATTGAAGGTAAGGCAAGAGAGAATAGTAATAACATAATGCCAAACCAGCCCGCCTCCAACATACCAACAAAATATTCAACCAGACGACAACTTTGCGATCTTTCAAGTCTTTTATATTTCAACTATACAACTATTTCAAAAATCAAACTCGCGCGGTTATTTTGTGCATCGTACCAATTATTTATTTTGATCACTATTTTCTTGACTACAGATTTGTATCATTGAGATCAAATAAGTCAACCGTTTAACCAATACTTGCTATACCAGCACTATCGCAGACACCCTGCATGCCTTAGCAACGCATACCATAGATACCAGAGCAACGCGTAGAAGAGCTTTGAAACAAGAAATCACAATAAGTTCTCAACACGTTTTCAAAACTTTCCATGAAAGCAACAAACAACACCAGCCTAGTAAAGCTATCAACGCCAAAAATCGATAAAAAAACCATGGGAAACTAAATACTAAAAGTACAAAATGAAACTCAGAAGAACCGGATCTTCGCCTCTATGGCGATAAAGAATGAAGAAAGCACGTCAGCTAGTCATAAAAATAATTTGACGAAAGCTGCTGTCAAACAAAAAAAAATTGTCAAAAAAAAAATTTGGTATATTTGTTTCGAGTGAAATTCTATTTGACGAGAAATTGACGTTGAATTAGATTTGAGATTTGAACCAACATGTCCAAGGGGTAACTTAGCAGACGTTACTTGGGTTAGCGACTGCGAAGTAGTTCATACAAAAATTTGAGCAATATAAAAGTTTTAAACTATTACACACTACACCGATATAGTATGGTACATATAGTTTTGGAACGAATAAAAAGAGGGAGTCGCATAAAAATGCACGAAGTCCTGACAAGCGAGGTTTTCACATCGCAATTTCAATTGACTATATTGAAAACACTAGCAAATAAACGGCAAAAAAAATTAAAAAGGAAAGAAAAGGCAAAACAGGACGCCAAAAATTGAACTATCAATATGCCGGAATCGAACCCGAACCTGTAGATTAAGATTCCTACGTTCTCCAATCTGCGCTACGATTCCTTGAATTCATGAAAAGCTAGCCACCAATAAGGCTGATTACAAAAGCTATTGTGCTATTGCCAAATTTCCAATGCTATCAAGCTGAAGTGCCTTCAGATGAGTACTTTCATTTGCGAGTTGGGTTAGAAAAACGTAGATTCGTAATTGAACACTACACTCACAAAAGTAAAAACAAGCAAAAGCAGCTGAATTTCGCAAACATAAGTAAAAAAAACTCTGCTCTTAAAAATTCTTGACGAAAAGAACTCGCGCACTGAGGGATCGAACAAATTCTGCCAGTGCATAGCCAAACATCGTACGAACCTTCATTATACATATAAATGTGATCCGAATTTCGAATAGAAGAACGGAATTTTAGTGTCCCCGGTTACAACACTCTTGCTACTCGCAAGGGTAAACAGCTATTGCAGTGAAATTACAAAAAGAAAATTTCATACACAGAGGCGAAGCGTAGCTTCGCATCACTAGCGATACCAACAAAATAACATTGCAAGCTGGCAGACAGGGAAGCAATTTTCTATGGCACATTCTAAGGACACATTCTACGGCATTTAATGAAAATTCAAAAACAATTGTCAAGCGAATGTTGTCATGAAAACCTTTGTAATATAAATTCATTTCTGAGATTTTTAACGTTTTGTGGGATCTGGAGGAAAGTATACTTATTATGGTTCCCTCGAGCCACGCAGTATTGAGTTAGTAAGCCAATAAAATATAAGACGAATGAAAATACGTCTCATATAATGAAAACTGCAAAAAATTCTAAGAAGAGGCAACTAAACCGGATAAAAAATAGGCTGAATAATAAGCTTATTATTGAAACAAAATATTTTGCGATTAAAAAAAACAGGTCCTGGTCAGATTCGAATCCATGACCTTTGCCGTCTAAGACGTATTCGTTACCTCCAGACTAAGCGTGCCGGAGACGTTATAAAAATTGACTTCGCTATAACTCAAGTGATTCTGTTAAACAAGTTGCTAAACCAAAAAAATTCTATTCGATTTGATAACGCTTGCTAATCGCAATGTAATGTAGGTGATGGAATGAATCTTTTGGCCCGAGGTTGTTTTTTTTTCAGACAAATTTCCAACTTTTAATTTAATATTTTTGACAGGATTAATTTATACATCCAAAATTTTTTGATGTCCTGCATTACAGAATAATGCTAAGAAGAAAAGAAGAAAGTCTTTTTTACAAAAAAATATTATGCTGAAAAAATAACTAGAAAAAAATAGGAAAATACACAATCAACAAAAATTTCATAACTTTGTCGCGGATAAGGATCATAAAATGCCTTATCAAGCATTAAGAATCAATGAGTGACCGGCAGCTAAAGCGAAAGATCTTGGGTCCACACTTGTTGAGCCGAAAACGAAACTGAAGACATAAAACATTGAAAACTCTTAAAATATAATTTTTACGACCCAGCCCTCCTGAAAGAGACAAAAGCATTAAATACAATTCACCATTGAAACTGCGCCACAAGTTTGAATAAGCCAAAATTATATACCACGAACCTATTCAAGCGAAAAAAAAATCAAAAATACTCAAAAAGCAGAATTGATAAATTTACAAACTACAGACCAACTTTCAATTATAGTAAGAACAGTTTGAATCAAAAATTTAAAAATTGAATCGAAAATTGAGAAAACCGCAAAACCGGAAAAAATTTTCATTATTTATCATTTAAAATTTGAACTACTACCCCGCATGAACTAAGCAGTATTTTTGAATTTTTTTTTAAAAAAAATGAGAATGTCAGCCTTTAATCATGTCAGAATCTAGGCAGAAAGTGCAAGAAAAGTTGTTTACCGAAAGTAGTTTAAGCAATGTTAAGAAAGGTTCAAAATTGCCAATTTGGCATATTTAATATACAATAGACTTCGCGCCATTAACGCGTGAAAGGCTAATTAATTCGGCTTAAAAATTATTTCAAATTGAAAAGAATCAAGCTAGTTGGTCTAACAAATACGTTACTGCATGCCAAATATATCAAGTTGTACTTGAAATAATGTGGGTGAGCAAACTATACTCCAGAGAAGTTACAGGGCATTTTGATCGTCGCCCTGATACGAGCAGTCAGTCTTGTTATACTCTAGCGCATACTTTCAAACGGGCAGCAATTAATACGCTTTTATACAGTAGGAAGCACTGAGCTCGCTTTGAGCTCATATAACCCATACTGTTCAAATGATAACGCTGGAGCATTTACAACAGGGTGACCAAATACGCTGATGACAAAAGGGGACCTCTCATATATTCACAATAAATTAGGAATTGGAACCGAAAAACACTATAACTGTAGAAAAAAAATGGATCAAAATTTTTATTGCTCAAGCAAATTAAAACATTTGATCGATCACATTTGCAGACGTTGTTTCTGCCAACACAGACTGTCCTCTGGACTCCTTTTCAAAGCGCTCCTTTTGATCCATGGCCTTCGATAACTTCGCCTGCAGATCGTCAATTTCTTTTTGGGAAGTGTCAATCTTTCTTTTCAAGTCTGCAGAAGTAAGCTTTTTGTAGACGGCAAAATTTTCCCTGTCGACTTCGGCGTTTTTTGCGCGTTCTGAGTTGGTGGCAACATTCACTTGCGATGACTTCAGATAAGAAGAAGATGCTGTCGCGACTGAGTCATGAAGGTCGCGTGGAATAGTAACAGCTTCTATCTGATCTCTGGCGAAGAATGAGCGAACCCGCCGAAGAGCATCATACGTGTCCAGCAGAAAAAATGATTTAGATACTTGCTCTCTGCAAGTTTCATTTCACTGAAGCCGCTTTCCACTTGCATATTGTGCGGCACCACCAATATGTTGAACTCACAAAGCTGACGTACACTCTGGTGATTTTCCAAACTCTTGCTCGTAAACAGTTCAAAAATACACACACTGCCGCTGCTGACAAACAATGTGGCAATTCCATGCGATAAAATATAGCCACACTTTGTGTAGCCACACGCAATGTTTGTGTACGCCGAGTCAGGAAACATAACCGAGTACAAGTTGCGATTGCGCGAGAACGCATCACTCGATCGAAAAGATGACCCGTCAAGAGCTATTTTCAAGACATGCAGAATCAGAGCTTTTCGTTTGATGGTTTCTTTGTCGTTCTGCTGTGCCACTTGCTGTCTGATTGTCGGTTGACTTTGAGCCGCTGCACTAGCGGAGACATGCCTGCCTGTTTCTTGATGTCTTGAAAGAACAGCAGTACCCTTGCTTATGTTGAGCTCTTGATTGCAACATCTGCAACGAACTGCATGCGGATTGCCATGAACGCTCAGTGCCCACGGGAAGTCGTTTTTCATTGCGTCATTGAAGCGACATTTTCCCATTGCGTGATCTGAAAAAGATAACTTTGAAGCATCTGTAAAAAAAAATAGAAAAGGGGACCACTGAACGCTCGGGGTACCAAAAGGGGTACAAAGGGGACTGGTCCCCCAAAGGGGACCGATTTGGTCACCCTGATTTACAATCTTTACAGATACAATATTGAGGGACGCGGTCGAGTGATATAAGGCATGCGTCTCTTAACACGAGGGTGGTGCGTTCGAATTCCACTTCGGTCACGGTTAGAGGGTTCCTCAAGGAGGGAACGGCTGCGGCAAAATGGATGACATCCCCCTTTCCCACGGTTGGACATCCATTCAGTAGGGCCGGGGGTTAAGAAAAGAAAACGAAAAAAAATCTCCCATTTGCAGCCACATTGCTAAAATTTAGGCGAAGTTTTCTAAAATTTATATCAATATTTTTAAGGAAGTCATGAAATATAAGTTTCCCCAATAACAACTGCTAGATTAATGAGTTACAACAACATTATTTAAGTCCATTACCCAGAAAACAGTTCAGAAAAAAGCCTAATGCTTTCACTCTGCAACTATTTCACTCATACACTCTGTACTTCTTATTAATTCTAACAAGCTTTCAAACCGTTTTTTATTCAAAAAAGGAAACTTACTAGCAATTTTTTTTCTTTGCACTCCAAATTACGGGTCAAATAATTTAAAGCATTGAAAAACAAACCGTCATCTGATGTTTATCCGAGCACCTAAACTACTAATACCCCACTTCGTTTAAGTGTACTAAAATCATGCAATTAATGCTCATGCGAAAGCCACCAATTTTCTCAAAACAATAAAACTGGTCGACTCTTTATTAGCTCCAAATTTAGATGTTCCAAATTCTAATCAAGCAGTTTAAATAAACACGATCCCATTCCAAAAACTATCCTGTTCTACAACAGCCTGTCTGGTATATTCAGTAGATATTGGCCTAACAAGTCCAAGAATGATAGGTGAAATTTGAACTTTGTAAATGTATAGCCAGAGAGGGAAACGCAACCCATCAATTCATTAGCTGTTTAAAAACCAGCTTAACAATTTTAATGTCTAGTGCAAAGTATTTTTACAAGCTGTGATCAAATTGGAGAAAAACTCCTTTATGCATTAATCTTAACTAATTGTGAGCACAAGTCCTTCAGAGAGAGGGATTTCTAGTCAAAGAACTGTTAAATATGAGAAAAGATCATTTAATTAGACCTACTGTAGTCTTCCTCAGTAAAGGGCGAAACAAATTAAAAGAAGACATTTTAGGTCTTATGCATCACATTCCACATTCTTTAATTTAAGCTAAACCCATCAGTTAACTACTTTTTTCATTATTCTATCCCCCTTTTGGTCTTATTGGTATTGCTCCGCCCACTACTGATTCAGCCGCGCGTAAATTTTCACTTTCAATCGATCACGCTTTTTCAGTTTTAATAGCAACAAATCGTCAAAAGAACACTTCAAGTATTTCATTTGCGACTAGAAGAGACTTGTGATTAGTGCTCAGCTGATTAAACTTCATCTTCATTACAACATGGTAGCGGAAGCGGACACAATAAAAGGTCCCGGTTAAGTCCCTTTTAGTGGTTTCCATTCTTCATGGTTGTTTAATTCATTTTTATCTTTTTCGGACCTAACAAGAAACCACTTGCACTTTTCAGACACTTCAAAGTCATATTTATCTTCACACATTTTCGCCCATAATTTCTACTATTCCATTGAAAACTTTGTTTAATTCTAATCCTAATGAACAAGGAGAGCAGAGCTCAAGGACAAAACTTTTCCAAGCGCGGTTTTTCGGGTCATAATGTCAACCAAAGACGCAATACGGGCAGGTCTCGCAGACACACAAGAGCGTAAGTTAAATATATTTATTAAAACTAGAAAAACAATACAGCCTGAAAGATTCCAGGATTCCACATCTGAAAATAGATACCTGAGTTTTAAAAAAAGATACCAAAAAGTGACTTTTAGATTATAGTGTCTACATAGATACCAAGTGACCACCCTGTGTGACCTTTTGCGAGTTTCGTTTTGGGTTAAAAAACGATCGTTAACAATGCGTCTGCTTTCGAACCAATCAAGACAATTCGGCAAAAATACCATTGCAGCAATAATTATCGAATACAAACGACATTGCCTAGTAGCAAAAAATTGTTCGGCTTCGCTCCGCTGCGCTTAAATTCGACGCAAGAGAAATTCCCGAGAATCAGTGGTTGTCGCTAATCTAGATTAGTTGGATGAAATGGCTTAGATGGATTAAATAATTGGCTTAAATTTCTGGCGTATTAAGTCTCAAAATAAAATTTTCCAAATGTCTATCTGTATGAATTGTCTGAACACGATTCACTTCTAGAGAGACGAATGACACAAGTGGTGGAAACCTGGTCAAGACCTGGACACCGCTAAAGAATGCAGTGGCCAATGCGCCCTGCTGCCCAGGCATCTATAAGATAGGACTCACTCATGACAACTGGATCGAAGTGGTCTACATTGGATCATCTTCTTCCGATAGAACACTGCGAGAGGTCGTCACTTCGGTAAGAACACACCGCAATGCAGACATTCTTTTTAATCAAGAAATTCCGTCGAATTGAGATCTTTCTATCCTCGAATTCTAGGTGCTTATATAGATGCTTGCATACAAGATTTTGTTGCCGCCAGACCTTTACAATGTCTTGACGCCGCCGTCAAGGCTCCAACTCATAGTAATTTTGAAGCTTAAGCTAGTACCGATTGCTTCGATTTCCGGTTCAAACTTTGTAATGTGTTTATGAGTAGCTCAAACGAAAATTATTTATGCAGAAAAATATCGAAGTTAATTTACGTGACACCAACAAAACGCATCGGGCTCAAAACAAGCCGCTTTTGTTTAGGTTGTGTACGGCTACGAAGGAGGGGAGCGCCTGGCGATGATGGTGGTGAATCCGTGCACTCGCAAGAAACTGATGGTGCAGTGGATCACCAGTGTGTACCCCGAGGAACTGATTGAGGACGAGTTGGAGGAGTACATTGCAACCAACCACAAAATACCTGAGTACAACACACCCATCGACCCCACCAAGGCATGTTAAACTAAAGACAAAACGAATTAAGAGTCCTCACAGACAGTAACAACGAACGAGTGTTGTGGAAAAACACGATTCAACATGGCCTCTTCACCAATGTTAAAACTTAACAAGGGTAGCCGGTTACTGTGCAAGTACCACAGAAAACAACAGCCTCGAAAAAGTGAAGAAAAAACTGGTTTCTTTCTTTCAAATTGTAATGTTTTGTTCGTGGCGTGATACAAGGATCTAAACAAAAGTATAGACTAGTTATAGTAAACTCAATTTTTTTCGATTTTTATTTAATTTCTTAATCTTTTTGCCCTTCTTTAAATCCTTTTTTTGCTTGCTCGCTTTATGATATGGCACAAGCCTCATTCCATACGAGCTTTTTCTCAGCTAATCAAAATAGAGAGGAAAAAACCAAGAGCTACGCCATAGTTCCTTGCAACTTAATGAAGTGGTCGAAAAAAATGTGTTTTTTTAAAATTAATTGTAGACAAATTAACAAAAACTTCCATCCCAGCAATAAACTCTTTTAAAATTGAATATGGTGTGATGAGGTAATATCAATAAGCTCGAAAAAATAACATTTATTCTGCAATAAAAGTATTATGCTCGCTAATCTCCAAAACTGATCCAAATTCGTTAAATTAATAAGAGATATTTCTCGGCAAATAACTCGGTCAATAAATTAATTTCGGCATTATTTCTATTGATCTGAACATCATATAACATTTTTAGCATCTGTCCGTTTTTTGTACAAAACGGCGCAAGCTAGCCACAAGAACCGGTCGGTAATGTCCTTGAGACAAATTGCTCTTTTTGGCGGTCAACCTTAATCAAGGCTGAACCGAATTAGAACCAAAAAACAGTTAAAATAGGATGTAACCCCCGTTTTTAGTATACTAATACATGGGCAGGTGGGGGACTCGAACCTACGTCAACTGTTAACCTGTATAATCGGCGTTAGCTTAGGCCACTCGGCCAACTGTGCTTATTGTTGTTACATTTTGGTTCAGTTTTATATGCATCTATACTCTACATTCTATACTCTACATTTGCATTGCAACATCCTCCCCCCCTGAAGAAGGAAGAACCGGAGCGAGCTTAACGGTCGGCCGCGTGACTTCACGGGTTGCGGTCCTGACAAGGGCGGATCGGGCGCAACCGTCCTGTCCGTAGTTTAGCTTGACGATTCGGGCGAGAGGGTAGTACCCACGCGGACTATCGGGCTCAATCACCCACACGAGATCGCCTGTTTTAAGAGTGAAGTCAGAATGAGTGTGCCACTTGACACGCTTATTCAGCGAGGGAACATATTCTCGAAGCCAACGAGACCAAATCGCGTTAGCATATGACTGCGCTCGCACGTACCTTTTCTTGTGATCGAAGTGCTCCCCGGGTAAAAGCGAAGGAAAGCTTGTGGCATGTTGTCCAAGCAAAAAATGGTTTGGGGTTAACGCTTCTAACTCACGTGAATCGGTACTAACGGGAGTGATTGGCCTCGAATTCAAAGCCTGTTCAACTAAGCAGAGTGTTGTTCCTAACACCTCTTCAGTGACTCGCCTACTGCCTAGGATATCGTACAGCACGCGCTTCACGCTTCGGACGAGGCGTTCCCAGGAGCCGCCATGATGGGGTGCGCCTGGCGGGTTAAATTTCCAAGTAACACCTTTGTGTGCAAAAATGGTCGGAGCCATGCCATTCCAGCTCTTGATGCAGGCAAGTAATTCCTTTTCCGCACCAACGAAGTTCGTGCCATTATCCGACCAGATTGTGCTTGGCGTACCACGGCGCGCAACGAACCGTTCAATGCCCATGACACACGAACTGGTGTCCAGAGACGGTACAATCTCAAGGTGTACAGCCCTGGTGGTGAGGCAAGTAAAAAGGAATCCCCATCTTTTTTCCGTGCTTCTGCGAACCGGAACGTAAAGCGGTCCAAAGTAATCCACACCCGTATGATTGAAGGGTGGTTGCTTGTATCCGAGACGTTCGACCGGTAAATCGGACATAATTGGCTGGATGGTACTTGCTTTGCGTTTACGGCATGTCACACATTGATTTTCGACAGACCGAAGTAGTCGACGCAACCCAAGTATTGCAAATTTCATATTTAAAACGGAGCGCATGTAATCTAATCCTTGATGAAAATGCTTATGGTGGAGGCTGCGGGCCAACAAACGAACTAAGGTATGTCGGGCATCGAGTATTATTGGGTGCTTAGTATCAAACTCGGTATCCACTAAGCGCACAATCCGTCCGGTGGAACGAATGATTCCAGCGGGACCAATAAATGGCGAGTATGTGGCAATTTTACTACTATTCTTAATAGGTTTGCCAGCGGTGAGTGTTTTTAACTCAACGGGAAAGGATTCCATCTGAGCAAGATGAATCAGTTTGCTTTCTGCAATATCAAGTTCAGTGGGGTCGGTGATTCGTAAGTCTTTACCACGAAAATGCTTATGTGAAGGCAACACCCTCAACATAAAAGCGACTACTCGTTTATATCTTGTAAAGGAACTGAACCTTTCCCAATTGAACCCGTGTTCGGGATGTTTTATTGATGTGACATCGGTGACGAAGGAAGATGATGTCTCCAAGCAATTATCAACATCACAAGAAGGACCCTTCAAACGAATTTTATTGATTACACGTTCGTCGGGTAAAAACGGCCAATCAGTAGTCCTGAGAATGCTCGGACCAATAACCCAGCTGCTATCCTTGAGGGCTTCCGAAGAAATCCCCCGCGTACCGGTATCAGCTGGATTATCGCCGCTCAGAACATGGTGCCACTCATCAATAGTGGTCGACTCGAGGATTTCGCCGACACGATTAGCGACGAATACAGGTAATTTTTCAGTGGAGTTTAGCCACTGCAAAACTGTTGTACTATCTGTCCACATAAAGACATGATTAATAGAGACGGTAAGGGCGGTCAGTATATCATCTTTTAGTCGTGTGGCGAGCAGAGCAGCTTGAAGCTCTAGCTTCGGTATCGATAGCGCTTTCATGGGCGCAACGCGAGCTTTACCAAAGATGAAGGATATTTGAGTTTTATGCGAGCTCGCGAGTCGCGCACGCAAAAAACCAACAGCACAGAAAACGTCCTGCGAGCTATCACCGAACATGTGGAGCTCAATTTGATCAACAGGCTCTGTGAAGTAACAACGGGGAATAGTCAATTGCCCTAAGAGAGGGAGACCGGAGTGCCACTCGAGAAACTTATCTCTTATGTCTTCTGGCAATTCGTCGTCCCAACTTTGACCACTGATTTTCCAAATATCTTTCAGTAAAAGACGGGCCCTAACTGTGTATGGAGCTACTAACCCAACAGGGTCAAACACAGAAGAGACGAAACTCAAGACGGTTCGTTGAGTTATTGCTTTATCGAGAGGACGATCCACGCCTCTGCTAACAACCAATGTGTCTTTCACATGGTCCCACTTAAGACCTAAGACGTGTGATGATCGTTCGGCACCGTTACATATTTCCTTGATGGGTGAAGATGAGGTTTCGGATTCCTCGGGGTTCATTGCTGAAGTGATTTCATCAGCATTACTGACAAATTTAGTCAAATTAAATCCTCCCAATTTTAGTAAGGAAACCAAATCGCGACTAGTTTTAATTGCTTGGGTAACGTTCTCGAATGAATCCAAGTAATCGTCCATGTAAAACTTTTCATTTACGACTGAGGCGGCCTCAGGGTATGTGGACATATTATCAGTTGCTGTTTTTTGCAACGCGAAATTGGCGCACGTAGGTGAATCCCGTGCGCCGAATATATGGCGAGTGTACTGATGAACTACCACATCGGAAGTGGTATCCTCCCGCCACAAAAAACGGAGCGAAATTTGATCGCGGGCAAGGACTCCTACCTGGAGGAACATACCCTCTATATCCGCGGAGACGGCGTACTTATGTTGACGGAATCGCAAAAGCACAAAAATTAAATTTTGGAGTAGGTCAGGACCCACCAATAAGGACTTATTTAAGGATGTGCCGTGAAACTTAGAAGCCCCATTAAGGACTCGGCGCACCTTACCCGGCTTATTCGGATTTACGACGGGATGGTGCGGAAGATACCACTCGCGATCGGAACGCTTACGTGGATCATGCGGTTCGACGGTAACGACATAGCCTTTCCTAATGTCCTCTCTAATTGTTTCTGTGTATCTTTCGCGCAGCTCAGGGTCTTTACTTAACCTTCTCTCCAATGATTTAAATTGGGCGAGTGACGAGTAATAATTGTTTGGTAGACTGACATTACTATCAATCCAAAGCATAGGCACAATGTATCTTTCGCCATTGTGAACGGTTTCAGAATTGAGGATGGATAAAGCATGTTTATCCGCGGCGGAACGGGCATCGACTTGTTTGAAAGCACCATACGATTCCAACTCGTACCAGGATTTTATCTGGTCGGTCAGAGAAGAATCTTCAACAACACACTTGAAACACGAAGAAGTAGAATTACCGGACGGCGGCAACGGACCACTTAAGACCCAACCTATCGGTAGGCGAACGGAACACGGTGAGTTTTTATCATCTCCCAAGATGAACTCAATGGGTCTAACGGCGTGGTAGTAGTCTTGTCCGATAATAATTTCAACGTCCTCATAAGTATATTGAATGGGCTTAATAGGTGCTAATTGTGGATATTTATTCTGCAAATCAGCAATATTGATTAATTCGGAACCAATCCGAATACTGTCTTTAACATATGCACAGAGAGAAAATACGAAATCACTATTATTCGGCTCGGAGGAAACTGTAAACTTGACTCTCTGAGTCTCAACAACGGTGGTCGAATTGAAACCACTAATTGACAAGTTAACGGGCTCCCCTACTAAGCCGAGACGCTTTACGAGTGACGAAGACACCCAGGAGTGAGTCGATGCACTATCACAAAGAACCAACGTCAGGAGACTGGTTACATCCGAGGATACACCAAGTGTTGCAATTGGCAACAACCCTTTAGAAGATTCAATGTCAAGTACATCACTAACAGCGGC